TCTATATTTAAAGGGATCTAATTCTGTGTTTATATTGACTCAAAATGTGCCTTCTGTTCATTTGAGTGGCTTCATGAATAACATTTGGGTGCCCTGTGGCAGTGGTCTATTCTTACATTCTGTTAACCTTGGTCAAATTGTATCAGTCTGAGCCTCACTTTTAGCACCTGTGTGAAGACTTGCATTAAATTCTGAACTCTAGAACTATGATGTCCATGGGTTTCTGACACATAGTAGGTGCTCAGTCAGTTACAATCTTTATCATCCTGGACTCTCCACCCCTCCTCATCATTTGTCTTCAATTATGGGAATGACACAGCTAATTGCTTAAATCTCTCCTTCTGTGGATACACTCCATTTCTGCTTTCAACACTTCCTCAAAAGATTCTTGAGACAACCTTCAGCATCAGGATGTGGCTGCGATTTGCATAGATCCCTCTTACCAGAAGTGATGGGGTTCTCCAGATGTGGCCTGACCAGGGCACCATCATTGAAGTCATGACTTCCCTTAATCTGCTCTCTCTGGAGGTTTTGTTCCAGTTTTTTGCAGTCATCTCTTGTCCTTGACTCTCATTAACCTTGAGGTCATCTGACATGGAGACGTTTAAGCTCAACTCCAGGAGTCAAGGAGGCGGAGAGTGGCCGAGGGAAATATTTCCTCACTGTTTCTCTTCCTTGTCTCCATTACACAGCCCCATCAAAAATTAGGTCTCTGTCCGATAACTGTGTCAACAGCTGGTTGGGTAATGGTGCCAGGAATAGAGCGGTGGGTCAGAGGTTCCACAGTTCCCGGAGAAGTGGCATCAAAGCCCAGCCCCTGCCTCCTTCTCAAATCATCCCTGCCCAGTGTAGCCTGCTGATAGGGCAGTAAACGAGTATGTGGTGGCCTTCCTCCACCTCTTGCTTCCTAGCCAGTGAGCTGGGTCCTGTCTCCAATGAGGAAGATTTCATTTCCAGTATTTGAGAAAAGTGGTCACCCTGACCTATGATTTCCCCTCTAGGGAAAGCTCGGCATATCCTGGCCATTGATTTATGGATCTGCATTGCCTACGATTTATTACCCAGCACTCTCGCCTTTGGGCTCTCTCCACCCCCTCCTCTTCCTAGCCATTGAGCTCCTCCAGCCCTTCCCTTCCAGGCTTCACTTTCTGAGTTCTCCTGTCTTTGCTGTCTAGATGCAAACCAAAGTGCTGAGGGATCACATATGGTGCAGAAGGAGCCAGGATATTGGACCAAACTGACATTAGTTTAGTACCTATTATGTGAAATTCCTGTGCTGGATGCCCATGGCAGCCTTTTCATGTCAGACTGACAGCAGCCCTGCAAAATAAGCATTTCTGTTCCCATTTCTAAATGAGAAATTGGGACGCACAGAGGAGACGTGACTTGTCCTGATGAGTTCTGAAGCCTATGTCCGCTCTGCTCTGGTATGCTACTTTGAATCTTGGCTAGCACTGACAGTTATGCAAATCACTCTCCCAAAATACATCCTCCCCAAGTCTCTGCTCTTACTAGATTTCACTGATGCTGTACCTGAGCTGGTGGCATTGAAGAACATGCTCGTGATCCACATAGCTGTTAAGAGGTAGAACTGGGATCTGAATTTGGAACTCCAGGGTCAGTTCATCTGAGCTCTCTATGACCAGGCATCCCAGCTCTAACTGGCCTTTGTTTAACTAATTGAAAGTGTTCCTGGAGACAGTTTTCTATTCTCACTCCAAACCTCAGTTTCCCCATTCACACAAAGGAAGGCTTGGTCCAGTTACATTCCAAGATTCTCTCTGAGGATGTAGCTGTACCTTTGAAGACAAAGCATTTAAACATGTTGGAGGAATTGCCCTTTCCATTCTCATTTTGTATTTGTGGCTTATTTTTATGACTGTCTGGATCAGACAATGATTCTCCATTGCCCCAAAAATAAAATACTTCACCAGGCTCAGAACTGTCTGGATATTCTAATCTCTGCCAAACCAACTGGGCTCTCACCCATTCTCTGCACTGACTGTTTCAAACAACGGGTGGTTTATGCGCTCTCCAGTCAGACACTGGATGAGCTGTTTCCTTGGCCTCCACATCTGCCCGAAAAATTTGCTTTTGCATTGAAGCCCTCACTCAGACCTCCATTCTCTAGGATGACTCCTCTGAGCCCCCAAAACGAATGAGTATGTGATCACTTTCTATGCACCCGCATCTCCTGCTCTGCACCCCAGCACTCTACCCCTGTTACTGTTTTTGTCATATAAATCTGCTGGGACTTGTGTGGCTTAAACCTATAGAATAAACAAGGAAGCAGGAAGGAGAGGAGAAGGTGGTGAAGAACAGGAAGAAGGGAGAAGAAGGAAGTTGTCATTTGTGGTGGTGGTGTAATATTTTAGCCTCACTATAATCCCAGGGGACAGCAAATATTCCCTCTTTATAGATGAGGGAGCAAAGTTAGAAGATTTTTTTTTTTTTTGAAAGCACGTTGAGAAAAAGCAAGCCAGCAGCCCTGGTAATGGCAATGGAAAATAGTTAACACCTGAATGAGCCCACTGCCTAGTTCGTGATGCCAGTCTTGTCTCCCCCTAATTCAAGTTTCCTCCGGGTAGCCAGAGATATTTTTAAACAATCCAGCTGTAAACCTATTGCTTTGTGGCTTGAAGCCCTCCAACACTTCTCCCACTTAGTCCCAAAACACTAATCAGAGAAAATGAGTATTGAGGGCATATTGTAGAGTCGTTGGTGCTTTTTTAATTTTTTTTTATGCTCTTTTGATTTTTAAAACAACTTTTTGTGGTAGATAGTTATTATGCCCATTTTTATGGGTAAGGAAGTGGAGGCCTAACTAGTTGCATCACAGAGGTTGAGTGTGCCTGAGGTGGGATGTGAACCCTAGCATCCAGCACTGAGGGTGCCCCACTACTCTGTGGGCCAGTGCCCCAGGTCCTGACTCCAAAGGCCTGGCAGCTTCACTTCTCCAGGTTCCCATCATGCCCCCTCACACACTAAGTTCGAGTATGAATTCCCAGAACTTCCCTGCAGTCTCTCACTCTATACTTTGATCTGTGCTGCCTATTAGACCTAACCTCTACTCATTTACAAGCTCTACCACAATTCCCCTTCTACCAGGAAGCCTTCCTGGGTATCCCCAGGCCTGCCTGAGCACTGCCCTCTGCTTCCCCACAGCTCTCACACCACCATCACCCTGGTGTCTTGACTGTCCTTCTGCCGGTCTTTCCAGGCGAGTCAGGAGCCCTGCCTGCCAAGAGATGCTCAAGAAGTAGACAACTGATGTCTTTATCTCCTGTAACTCCTCAGCGGTCCCCACTTCTCCAGTGAGGGGAAGAGCTTAGAGAGGTTGAGGGCATTTCCCAAGGACACCAAGGTGTTAAGGGGCAGCAGGAACTCAAGGAGGAGGGCTGAGAAGTAAATTCAGAGTGGAGAGAAGACTGTGAGCCGAGCAGCGACTCAAGTGTGATTACGAAGCTATGAATTCTTGGCACTTTAGGAAATATTCCACCCAAGTGGTGAACTATACAAAGAAGACTTTTTGAAAGGCGCCTCATAAATCATGCCCACAAAATGTACACACATATGCCCGGCCCTTTTCCAGCCGCCACGCAGGTGCCTAACACAGTCTCCCATTTGTGGGGTCTGTTGTTGTAAACCCCCCTCCCTGCCAGGGTCTCAGAGGGCCATGGAGAGGACAGAAAGGGAGAGGCTCTCAGGAGTCCTGGGCATTTGAAGATACCAGGATGTAGCATAAAGTGGGTCCCACGTGGAGATGGACACCTTGACATTGAAACTACCTTGTGTGTTCTGGGGAGAGGGTGCTTCTTTCCTTCTCTAGACCTTAGTTTCCACATCTTTCATGAGAGTAGGTCAGACTAGGTCAGTGCTTCTCCACTGGGGTGGTTTTGTTCTCCAGAGGACATTTAGCAATGTCTGGAACTAATTTTATTGTCATGATTGGGGCGGGGAGTGTATTGGCATCTGGTAGGCAGAGGCCCGGGGATGCTGCTAAACTTCTTACAAGACAACCCTCACAACAAAGAATTATCTGGCTCAAAGGTCAATAGTCCCGCTGTTGAGAAATCCAGAATTAGGTGATCTCAGAGATCCTAGCTAGCTTTAATTCTCTGTGCAGCCAATCTCAGGAGCCCCCGGTGCTGGATCAAGGGCTGAGGTATGTTCCTCATGTTGACTGACACACTACAGAGTGGCTCTTGATTAGACAAGTGTCTGGTGTGACCTAGATCCAGAGCCCTGGTTAGTAGCCATTCTTTATCAGTACATTACGGGAGGATCCCTTCTCGGGAGCTGTTCTGCCCTTAGCTTTGCACTATTCCCATAGTTAACTCATAACCAACTCCTGAGGGTAAGACCACCTCCCTATTTTAGATGAGAAAAATGAATCATATTCTGATTGGGGGACCTATTAATGCTTCGATGAATGTGAAGTCTGTGGGTGTTCAGACCTGGGTCTGAATGTCCAGCTCAAGTGATTAACTTGCTCTTTGATCTTCATCAAGTCAAGTCACTTCTCTAAGGCTTGGGTCACATACTCTTTAAATGTGAATGTAGATAGATAGATAGATAGATAGATAGATAGATAATAGGTAGATAAATGGATGTATGGATGGATGGATAGACAGACAGATCTCTGCTGTGTCGATTAAATTAAAACTTGAGCATATGGCGTACAAGTACATTTGAATTTTGACCATAAACATTATCCGAAGTCATTCCATCTTGTTACACTGGTGTCCTCCAACTTTCCCATTTTGGAAGAGGAGATGCAAGACTATAGCTCTGCCATTTTTTGGATATCACACAATTGAAGAGAACAGGGTTTAAAGTAGCCTTGACATAGGTATTTGAAGCACCACCCCCTGTCACGGACATATGGGACACCATTAGAACAGATGTCCTCGTCTGCCTGAGGACCTGCGTTCACCACCTCCACTGCCTCACTCTCGCCCTGGGCTCCTCCCATCTCACTGTCTCCTCCTGCCTTTCAGGAAGGCCCACCTGATCCTGCGGCGCCTGGAGAGAGTGAGCAGCCACTGTTCCAGCCTCCTGCGGAGCGCCTACATCCAGAGCCGCGTGGACACCGTGCCCTACCTTTTCTGCCGCAGCGAGGAGGTCCGGCCGGCGGGTATGGTCTGGTACAGCATCCTCAAGGACACCAAAATCACATGTGAGGAGAAGATGGTGTCCATGGCCCGAAACACGTATGGGGAGTCCAAGGGCCGGTGAAGGGGGTGCCGCCCTCCGTGAGCACAGAGACTCTCCGTGGGAGGGGAGCAGTACTCTCACGGATTCTGGGGCCTGGGTGGGCTGGGGGACGGCTGCAGAGGGGCCTGGCAGAGGAGGCCTGCCAGCAAGGCCAAAGCAAACTCTTTCTTTTGTGGATAGCCGACAGAGAACTTTGTAACCACTGGAATTGTTCATTTTTCTCTATCTTTTATTTTTTCTAAGATATTATTTGGACTATCAAAGTCTCTCCTTTTTAAAGTTTTTTCTTATGGATGGTGGTAAATCCCAAGGCAAGAGCTTTCAGATGGAGACCAAGCGGCCTTTCCTGTTCTCCCTTCCTCTTGCCACACTCCCTCCCTTCCTGCCATGGCGCCCTTGGAGAGACATTTGGACCTCTTCCGCATCTGGAAGGAGGCCCAAGGAATGCTGCAGTGAGGAAGCCTGGGTCTTTGGAACTTCTTTTTTTCCCAGACATCATTGAGTTTGCAGGACCTCACCTCTTCCTGCCACCTGTGGGGGTGCCCACAGCCCCCCCAGGAATGTCCACGCATTAAAAATTCCTATTGTCTCTCTTTCTGCTTGGGTACTGTTTCTTACCAACAGGGACCTCTGTTTATCCACTCAGTAATGTTTTTATTGATTCTCTCCTCTGTGCCAAGCATGGGGCATACAAGTAAAGACAGAGATGCTCCCTAGTCTCAGGGAACATGACTGTTCTGTGGTAATTAAAGGGCAGTGATTCAGTGGTTTCAGGCTGTGATAGTAGAATAGAGGTTCTTTCAGTTCATGAGATCAACTGGAGGGGTCTTGAAATGCGTTCTTGATAAGAATGATGCCCAGAAGACAGGATGGGAGAGAGTGGGGTTTGCTCCAGGCAGATGGGACAGGAGAAACAAAAGGCCCAGAGGTAAAAGAAAGTATGATTCATCCAAGGGCTGAAACACTTTCATAGAGAATAGAGACCAAAGTAGAGAGGAAAACCTGGGGGCTGGGTAGGGTATTGGAAGCTGTGGACAAAAACCTCACAATATAAGAAATAACTGAGAACTTTTGCAGAACATTAATGAAGAGCAAAATTACTTCATCTCTGAGGAAAAAATGGCTACAGTTTCAGGCCGAAAATTGTCCGAGAGAACCCCAAGAGTGGGAGACTGTGATCATTCCCTAAGGCGGAAAGGATGATAGTTTGGATCCTGTGTTCTTAGGGGAGATATTTCACCACTGAAGTCTTCTAATTGGCAACTGCACTGCTTCCAGTGCTACCTGTGAGGGTGGGGATGCAGATGTGTATGAAGAGGCACTTAATGTCCTTCAGTAACTCGGAGAGGCTAGCTTTCTGAGGAAGTCGGATTTAGGTCAAGTATTTCACAATACAACCATGACACCTGTTAAAGAGAAGAGAGCAAGCTGTTGTGGGAACTCAGAGAGGAAAAGATACTGTAGATTAGTAAAATATAAGCAACTAAAAATATGCCTATTTCTTAAAATATGGCACATACCAATGAGATAAACAGTCCCCTTCCAGGAAAGTTACACGCTTCCCATGGACTGCTCCCCCAGAATTCAAATGTATTTAAGGAAAAGAGCAGGAGGTGCTTCCAAACACTGAGAATCTGCTCAACTTCCAACAGTCAAAGCTTCAAGGTATTCCTTCAAGAAGCTATATTATTGTTAGATTTGCACTTCTGCACATAGATAGGTGGAATTTTGATGAGTGAATTTTTTTTTAAGATTTATTTATTTTATTCATACAGAACTGAGGTGCAGGCCAGAGATGCGGAAGTTGAGAGAATTCACCAGGGACAGATTGGGGAGCAGAACAGGCAGATCGACGAAGTACACTGCTGAGGGGAGCAGCGGGCGGGTCAGGAGAGGTCTGCCGCACCATGTGGTCACCTCCGGGGCAGGCGGGGATCGAACTCATGCAGAAGCGGCTTGAGCTTCTTAGTGCAGTGCTTTAACCCACTGCGCCACCAGGAAGGGCCTGATGAGTAAAATTTTGCTACTGGTCACTGAGTTCTCCCAGGTAAAAGAGTTTATTTAGAGAGGAACATGCATTTTAACAAAAGGAATAGTTACCCTTCCTTGCCTTCTTGCCTACATTTGCCAGTTGTCTATCTTAGTTATGGTACAGCAATACTATAGACAAGGTGACTTGATTAATACAATTTTTTTCTCACAGTTCTGGAAGTTGCAAAGTCCAAGATCAAGCTGTCTGGTAAGAGTGCTTTTTCGGGTTCATAGGTGGTGGTTTTCTCCAGGTGTCCCATGTCCAAAAGGCAGAGTTCGTTCTCAGGGTTTCTTTCATAGGGCACTAATGCCACTCACGAGGGCCACCCCTCATGACTGAGGTAATTAATCACCCCCCCCCAATGTTTCACCTCAAAATACCATCACCATGGATGTTAAGGTTCAATATATGAATGTCGGGAGAACACAAGCATCCAGTTTATTGTCACATGGGAACCCCTACTCTAAACACCTCCCCATATACATTTTACTGAACCTAGGTCACAGACTTTTGCAAGTCACCCTATTACTGTACCTTTCCATTGTCTTGACCCAGCCTGAAGAATGTTTTAGCTCAACAATTGCAGGAGTAAACTCCTTAGTGTGGCGAGATTGTGGTCTGAAGCTGATTAAGTTTGAATCTGACGCTACTGCCATTCACCTTGTCCTTGGGTGAGTAACTTGACCTCCAAACCCCACTTTCCTCATAGGCAAAATTAAGTCTGAGGTAGTCTAGCCTCATGGGGTGGTTGTGGAGCCTGCGTGAAGTGATGACTACTGCACCCAGCAGAGCACACAGTAAGTAGTTTTCTCTTGCTGAGGTAGTTGGCACAGTGATATCAATGTTGAGGAGTTGGCCAGGAATTGACTGGCATAGGTCTAGAGAATTTCGATCAACAAAAGGAATAATTAAATAGTAGGTAATCTTATGAGGAATATGGATGATAATAAGCATTAAAAAAAAATTAACTTCAAGAGAGATAGCCATGATGGTGAAACTTGACACAATAGCAAGAACCCTAAGGAGAAGTGTGTGCTTTTTTCCAAGGCTCCCACAGACAGCTGTTGGCCTCTGGGTAGCTGCCAGTTTGCCAGTTAGCTCACCCCTGGGAATATCTGCCATCCTGTTCTCCCCAACTCATTCCCCATCTCTGTTCCTTTCTGGTTTTTCCTCTGTTCCTTTTCCTGGCAGTGTGGTGCCTGTTACCCTTTCCAGCCACCATAAAGCTCTCAGGAGTGGGATTCCAGAAGCCTGGAGAAACAGGTGTGTGTCTGTGCCATGCCATGGCAGGAAAAGAGGTTAGACCAATATTTGTTAAGATGTTTCACTGGAAAAAGGAGAAGAAAATTCTTGAAGTGCAAATGAGGCTGCTGGTCCAGCATCCTGGCCTCTACGTGTCCAGTTTGACTCATGTGCTGCCATGGAAAATGCCAGGGAAGCTCAAGCCTCCCTGTGCCGGTAGAAATGAGACTTTTCATGTGGTCTCCACTATAGAACACAGATCTTGTAAACATATACGGTGTGTGTTAGGGGTGCACAGGAAATTGCCCTTGGATGACTCCTTCCTTCTGTGTGGTCAAGAAGTGTCTTCCCTAGTCAGTTTTCATGAAGAGTGGGCTGCACAGACAGATGCTGCTAAATACCTTTTGGGGCTGTGCCTCACACCACTGCCTCTAAGTACTTACCTTCTTTAACCCCATGTGCAAAGCAGTTGCTTGCTACTATGATTACCAGTAACAATCTTCAGTAAAAGAAGCTGAGCAGCCAGAGGAGTGTGCTCTCAATCTTTTTAAGTCTGAGTGAGCGATGTTTAGTCATTGAGACATAACCTTGGGGAGCAGAATAATTCAAGCTGGTGAGCACCCCACTTACTGTCTCCTTGGCCACTTGAGTGTAATGCTCCCTGTCTCCATCTTAACTCAAAAGGCAAGTTCTTTTAACTTCCAATCTATGTCGGTACAGGTTTCCAGGTTTTGGGTACAGAGAGAACCCAGAGGTGAACAGGACTCAACTCCTGCCCATTAGGAATGCCAATAACTTAGCTACCTAAATACATTGTGATAAAACCAGAACCTCTGGCATCAAGCCAACCTGGTTTTAAATATTGGCTGTGCAATTTACAGTGGGAGTGGACCCTGAGAGAAATTTATAGGGCTAACTTAACAGGGCTTGCTAATTAAGAGGTGCAGGTTAGTTGACATTAACTTAACCTCACTAAGCCTCACTTTCCTCATCTATAAAGGGGATAAATACATGACCTCAAAGGACAGTTGGGAAGATTAAATTATTTCATATATATAAGGCCACCAGATACTTGAAAACAAAAGCTCACAAGTAGTTACCACATCATTTATTTACGCAAGAAAAGATGACTGTAGTCAGCTCAGTCACTGGAAACCATCCCTGCCCACGGGTATATTAGTGCAGCCAGTGCAGCAGTGGAGAAGGAGCCTTGTGGGCAAGAGAGACCAGAGTAGTGGTGAAAGTGTGCCATGCTTGAGGGTTGGTGAACAACTGGCGTAAGCTGAGAGATAGAGGGTATGTTTGTAGAGGTTGGCAGAGCCAGAACACATTGGCATTTGGAAAGTATTGGATTGAGAGTAGGAGTATGATGTGGCAGGTTAAGCAATCTGAAAGGCTGCAGAGGAGAGTGGAGAGACTGGAGAGGGCCAGTGGCATGGAATCCAGTAGGAGAGGGGACAGGAGTAGATGCTAGTAAGTTGCTTAGGGAGGAGATGAAGATATCTGAGTTAGGTGTGTTGCCATGGTGAAGCTGGATCTAAGTGAATTAAGGAAGATGACCCAAAGGGCTTGCTCACATTAAGGCCTGGAAACACGGTCTCGCCTTTTCCCTCCAGTGAATGTTAGTCAGGGGGAATGCATTGGATGAGAAACCACATAAGATTAGTGGGCAGTTTATGCATTAAACATATTCGACATCATGAGGATACAGTGATTGGAACATAAGCATGCCAAGACTATCATCTAGCATTATATGCTTTAAAGTAACATGCAGGGTCCTGTGTGTATCTCATGGATGTGTTGTGACTTCCAAATGCAGGTGAACCAGTCGTAGTGGGGGCCTATGTAAGCCAGGGTAGCTCTTAGGGATGAGTAAAGAACATATGGAAAAGCTGCTAGCTTTTTCTCCTTTCCTTCCCCCTTTTCTTCTTCTTCTTTCCTGCCTTTTCCTCTTCTTCCTCTTCCTCCTACTTCTCTTCTTCATCATTATTCTTATCCCTATTATAATGTAATTGATTTCCTCCTGTATGCCCTAGCTGGGATGGATGGATGATGGACGGACAGATTTAATTTCATCAGCTATTCATAAAAGCACCTGAATTTATAGTTGAAGGAATTGAACCTCATAGAGACTAGCTGGTCTTAGGTGACTAGTGAGTGACAGACAATAATTTTAATCTAGGTCTTATCTGACCTCAAAATTTTAATTATTAGACTATCCTGCCTCCTAGGTGGTAGGCACTCTGGTTTTTGGTCCTGATTCTATAGTAGAATGTGTGACATTTGCACACTGTTCACCCTCCATGAGCACCTTGGTTTCTC